TTTTTTTTCCTTTTTTCTTTTTTTTTTTTAAAGCAATGAATTATCAATTGGTCCCCAATGATAGTTCTACAGGAACATGATCGGATCTCTGGGTTAATTGCTATATCAATAATTAAAGGTACCTAATTATACCATAGTGAAAGGTGGAGAAAATGAGATGCTTATAATTTCTAAAGAATAAAATGTCCAATTGGTCATGAAAGAGCGTGTGTCAAACACAGCATATTGGTGGGTTGTTTTTTTTTCCAATTTCTTAAAAAAATAAACCAACCCCCCTTTTTTTTCTGGCCTTCTTACCAAGGGACACAGGCAGAATAGTGCTGTCAGTCTATTTGTAGCTGAAGTCTGTTGTCTCTAAGGGGGTTGTAACCCCCTTAAGTTTTCCTGGTTTGGGGTCCTGTCCAAATACATACATGCACAATGCCTGCTGCTATCCAAGGACTGCATCTGTTTACAACATTGGATTAAACTATTGCAGATTCAACCCCCCTCTAACCTTGTCCAGTGTGATTAGACATCAAAAAATGGAATATGAGATGGTTGTATAATCCTGGAGGGGGAAGAGGGGACGGTATATCTCGTTTGGTGTATTTTACCAGTACCCCCTGAGAACTGAAGAATTGGTTTTCAAAAAAATGCAAGAAAACAAACAGCAGGATTTTACAACTGAAATGTTGGTTTGTCTTCTCATCTCTTCTATAAGATTGAACCACTGGAACTTGGGGACAAGATGAGTGTGACCATATTGCAACAATCTGTCCGCTACAGTTGCAGTTCTTCATGACAAGCATTCAAAGTGTTAACTAAAACCATTGAAACAACATACTTGCCATTAAAACTTGAATCTAGAAAAAATAACTCCATGAACCTTTGCACTACCAAGTGGAATGGCCTTAAATGCTATAACTATAGAGCAGTTTGCTGTTTGCTGTCCAGCTAGTGTTTAATACAAATTCTGACTCCACTTTCTTTTCTCCTCCCTTCGTCTTTCATGGGGTTACAACGGCATTCCTGTTGCAGACGATGAACCAGCTGGACCAATGTATGTATTTTATCTGGATATATCAAGTGGCTGAACTGTTACTGAATGGGGAGATTAAGAACACTTACTGTGCAAGAATTTGATTGTCACATAGTGTCGGGGGGGGGGGGGGCAGGCATGC